AAAGACGTTTGATAAATCAGCATTTTACTTGCATCCACAAGCTTCAAATGGTTGTAAACGCAGGGCGAAGAACATTTTATCAACCTGAGGATTTCAAAGTGGGAACACGGTGTGTATCCTGTGAGCTCATCAGAAAGTGGTTCACAATGTCCTTTCCTTTTTCTTTTGCCAGAAGCACCACAGAAAGCAACAATTGCTTACAAATTCAGTCTGCAATGAACCTCAATTAAATCTAGTGTGATGAAAGTTTGTTAAAAAGCAGAGCAGAATGTTCTGGAAGATGCGTTACAGCAGCGATGGCACTTTAAAACTCTTTGTAAAAGTCTTATCTGTGTAAAGAAAAGGGAAAAAAATCTGCCACAACAAATGTGTTTTGTGTTGTTTTCATGTAGTTGCTCGGATGTTTTCTTTCAGTATTCAAGTCGAGATGACGGACGGATGTCATCACTCATTTTTAAAGGCTAAAATAGCCAATCACACACTGCAGCTGCTGCAACCACCTTCTATTTGTCTCTGATAATGTTGAGATGAGAAAATAATCATTTCATTCACGTGTCATTGTCATGGCAATAGCTTCTGATCGATGTAGCATTTATGAATTGTGAAAAATAGTTTAGAAAAAGGGTTTGCATTATGGGGGAGCTAGGGGGAGCCACCCGGGGGAGCCTGAAATGTTATCCCTCTCTCTCTCCCAGCATCATAATGAAGTTGATCAGATGGGCCACTCTCCCCCACCCCATGGATGTTTACTGGAGGCAATCTGAGGAAGGACACCCCCTCCCCCACAAGACATCACCGGCGATCGGATGGACAACTCCCCCACCCCTCCACTGCTCCCACAGAGTTTTAACAGAGCCCCCCCCCCAGCCCCCCCCCCCCCAAGCCCCCCCCCCCCCATCTCCCCCCCCCCCCCCCCCCACACACACACACACACGTCATTTAACTACATTGAACTGCTTTTGTAATACTTTAATTTCTTATTCTGGAGTAAAATAAAGAAACAATCTAAATCATCACATATCTGTGGCATCAAGAAGCAACTTAAGAGTTCAAACACAGGGATGGAGCCATCGACATATATACTGGACAATTCATTTCCATAGGCTCCGATAACACGTTTTTGTGCCAAAATGGGAGGTGGCCACCACCGCCATTTTGACCGTGTCACAGTTCCGTCAAGCCCAGACAATTCCACAAAAGGGAAGAGAGGAGGAGCTGAGGGTGTGGCTGTAAGGCTGGAATCAACTGATGACACCCGGTCAAACTAGCTACAAGCTAACCTGAAGCTAACCCAAAGCTAACACGGAGGTGGGAGCTAAGCTAACGGAGGTAGCAACCTAGCTACAACCGGAGTTAACTGTGCACAACACCAGAGCTTCTGAGTCAGAGATACGCTGGGCTGACCGCTGGGTAAAACCGGGTGGAACACAGAGGTCTCCCGAAAACTGCTGAAAGCCGGCAGCCCGCGCAGCAGACAGAAGCCGCGGTCAGATAGAGATGCGCCGAGCTGCGGGGAGGGGCGAAACGGGTGGAAAACATCGGTCTCCCGAGAGCTCCACAAGCCGATAGTCGGAACCCAGCTCCACCAACATGTTATATTTCAACCCATTTTCTAAAGTGCAGCATTATGTTAAATGCACTGGGTTTTACCCCATTACATTTAAATTTCATGGTTAAACAGTACATGTTAAAATCTAAGCTCAGCTCGGCAGTGACCTAAAATACATAAATATAATTTTACTTACAGAAAAAAATGAAGTGGGGACTCCTTGGACACTCTATTAGTGCAATTAATGCCACAGCAAGTCATTTTGTCCAACAATTGCACAAAAAATATCCAAAAAAGAATACACAAACACACAGAGACTCAAAATCCTGGAGCAGTTTCCAGGCCAGACCGAGGCTCTACTGAGGCCTTTCCACGGAGCTAGCTCTGTGGGCACGTGGGTCTGATGCTCATTAATTATACAGAATTTTAGGCTTTTAATACACTTAAACAGAAGAGTGAGAAAAAAAATTCACCCCCCTCAGAGTTGTCATGAGTGTAAACTAGATCATTTAAACAAAAAACATGTTTTGGTACCAGGCTGTAAACATGTTTATTTCTGCTGTGAAACTGGTATTTTTAACATGGGAGTCAATGAGGATTTGCTCGCTTCTGACACCAGCCCCCAGCGGATGAGGAACTGAACCGAGCAGAACCGGTGCGCGAAGGTGCGGGATCCAACCCACAGGAGAGGAGGGAGAGAGGAGGTAAACAGCGAGTGGGTCACAGGGACTGAACTGATGTTTGTCAGCAAAAAGTGTACACCCACACCCCCACGGTTTAAACGCGACGCTCATGCAGGTGTCTGTTTCTGTTCCAACGCTGCTACACACAATATTTTTAATTTATGAAGCTATAGTTTTTTTTTACTCAGTAACGGATATGATTTCAAATGTGGCGAATTACAATTCTTTTTTAAAAACTTACTCAAGTAAAAGTAAAAGTACAGCTTTTAAAAACTACTTAAAAAGTATAAATATACAAATAAGCTACTCAATTACAGTAACTTGAGCAAATGTAATTTGTTACTTTCCACCTCTGAGCTTCGTCACATAATGTACCTTCACTTCAGGAAACAAGACACCCAGTTATAGCACATTTCGTTTATCTAACGAGACTTGAAACACCTTGTTTTATAATCTTGAATCTTTCATTATAATAAATTGTCTAACAGGAAACTGGTCCTAGTCTGAACCACAGTTTTAATTAAAATCCCTGTGTTCCTTACACAAATGCATATATTGTCCTCTTTTGTGCCAAAGCTTCAAACCAATATCATCGACCCAAAAGGTAATCAGTAGCAGATGTAAATCTGATGAATGATCAAAATAAAAGGAAACACAAAATTAATTAATAGATAATTTCACATTCTAATTATTAATATTCAACATATTCAGCTTTTGTGATGACAAATATATCATAGATATCTGTATTTTGCAGAATTATCTTACATCTCAGCAGCCTGTTTATTTTTGGTGGTTCACGTTTGGTGCTGTATTAAATAGCTGTTGACCTCTTTTCCAAATATTTTCCAAAAGTAAATTACGCACAGGCTGCATGAGACAGCGTGGTTTCATCAAATCCATGCATCTTTTTTCTTGGTTGAAGTAATGGTGAAGAAAAATAACTTGTATTTCTTAAATAATGACGTCTCAATAGTGTGTCTACGATAACGTTTTAGCCTATCTTTGGTCTGGGAGGTGTAACTTATCATGATGCAAGCCTTTTGCCTGCCTGGGGCAGCAGTAGCTCAACATCTCCGGCAGCTCCGGACATCTGCTGTTGTGTCCTTGGGCAACACACCTAAACCTCCTTGCCTGCTGGTGGTGGTCGAATGGACCGGTGGCATCAGTGCTCAGCAGCCTCGCCTCTGTCAGTGCGCCCCAGGGCAACTGTAGCTACATCGTAGCTCATCACCATCAGTGTGTGAATGTGTGTGTGACTGGATGAATGATACACCATAGTGTAAAGCGCTTTGTAGTCCTTGGTCTGAGAGGTGCTATACAAGTGCAGGTTATTTATCATTTAAAACATGTTAAAGTGTTACAAGAGGAGATAAAAGCATGTATTTAAAGTTCATGTTTGGAGACCAACCTTCACAGTTGGCAGGCTCAGGCTGGTGAGGAGACACCATTAGTTCTAGTAACACCTGGGCTCCCAAGGCCTGTTCTGACAGGATGGACATTACGGGACCCTTAAGGATTCCAGTTGGAAGATTGGAGGATTATTTAGGAGGAGTGGAATGAACAAACTGATTTCAGTGGTGAAGGGTTAAATGAGTGGGTGAACCCACTACCAAGGATGAACTCTGCTAACTTTAAAAATCAGCTGCTCTAACTAAGCATGGAGGTCAGAGAGGAGCTCTAGGATGGACACAAATAAAGTAACTGTAATGTAGAGGTAAAGTAGGGCAGGGCCAACGTTAGCAGCTGTCATATGGTCCATTAGAAATGTTTGACTTTCATTTAGCTTGTTATGTGACAGGTTAGAGCACAGTCTCATGTTAGAGTTTGTCATGACAACATTGAGATACCTCACATACTGATGGCATCTAAAAATTAACTTTTTTTTCATAATAAAGAATAATTTTAATCACAATTGAAACCTACAATCCTAGAAAAACGTCATCCAATCAATGTGCACGTCCTGTTCTCACTGATTGGATAGAAATCCCTCCATCAAACTGTGTGTGTATGTGTGTGTGTGAGTGTGAGTGTGAGTGTGCGCGCACACATAAGCGTGTTGGGAACTGGTTTGCACTGATGTAACCATCTTTACGCTGACAAAAATGTAACTAAGTAACTTTTAATTAGAGTACATTTTATTTATGATACTTTTTATTTTTACTTGAGTAAAAATTTAGGCAAGTACCTTTACTTGTACTTGAGTAAAAAATTATCAAAGTATGGGTACTCGTACTTGAGTAGGACATTTTAGTACTCATTCCACCTCCGACGAAGCTTGTATTTCTCATTTGTAGTTTTCTCTTTCTGTGTCTCGTTGCAGCATTGATCATCCACTCTACTTCAGGCTTTCGCATGTATACACTGTTCTTTAGTGGTTGATGATTAAGTTGTCATTATTTTTCATGTAATGAACTTGTGTGTGCCAGAGTGCACGCAGCTATGTGAATGTACTTGTAACCGTATCCATTTGCTCTTTCAGAAAAAGCTCAAATGTCATGAATGAGACACGCTGTTCAAAAGACGTTTTCTCTTCCCTTAGTCAACAAACTCGTACAGGAAATGTGCTGCAATCGTGCATGTGATGGTCTGAATTTGCAATTGTGTGTCTTAGGCACAAGCATTAAAGCAGCATACCCCAGAAAGTGGATGTGTTACAAAGGTTAGGAGTTGCAACAAAAATGTGTAACATGTCACCATCAGTAGAAGGATTTCAAGTGTGTTTAGGGTATTTCACAACGGACATAGCAAATAAACAATTTAACGAATACCTGTGTGTGATGGCTGTCCAAATGTCTGTGCAGGGAGGAGCTGCTAGAATTTGACTTGATGTGACCTTCATCCTCCAGTGACCCTGAACACAACATAAGAAATACTTTACAAACCACAAACAACTGACTAGACCGAAAATCGCATCGGAGAATGTCTCAAAGAAAAATATATTACGCTGGATCTGTAATTATTACTTTCTAGGACAATGTGCAGCAGAGCTGAAACAATATAATAAGTGATATGATATGTTTTCTATACAAAACTTATACACTGCAACACCACATGTGATTTCAGAAGTTACAAGCAAGGAGAAAGAGAGCAGCATGCATTCAAAAATGTCTGTGGCTTATTGTCTGTTTTGTTTACCTCAGGAAATGACATGTATTTACTTGCGCGTTACTTTTATTTAGAAAGTTTCCGGATGTTTTACACAGCTTTTGTGTTTGACTTCCTGTCTAACCCGATCTACTGCAGAGTTTGGTGTTTTATGGAAGCACTGTGTGTAAAACAATTGACCTGAAAATGAATGATGGCGTCCCTTCACTTATCGTGTCCACAATGCTACACTTTGCTGCCGGTGGAAAAATAACTTGTCCACAATAACTGCATCTAATTGTCGCAAATTATGTTTTGTGGCCATTTCGCAATGTTTTTACGTCCAGTGGAAAGAAGGGGTAGCAGTTATAGTTCTATGTTTTTAAAAAATGGTGCCCCACAAACGGGATCAAAGGGATCAATGGCCCCTTCTATTAATAAATGCCATGCCCCCCAAGCACATCTGGTTTTATTCCTGATGTGTTTTTTCCTAGCAAACTAAATTTACTGCTAAAATGTCTGCAGAAGAACTCACACCTGCGGATAATCAGCTAATCAAGTGCATTTAATTAGCAGCACCTGCCAGTGATTTCCCTTCATAATTAATGTGGACGAAAGAAAGGTGGCCTTAGACGTTTGAGAGTTTCTGCACCTCGGCTTGGATACTATGAAGTTAGATGAGTAAAAAGATGACTATTAAAGGGGACATATGATTTTAAAAATATATAGTTCTATAGTTGATAAAACTCAGCAGTTTTATTTTTGACAGTTTAAGTACCTTCCAGAATGAGCCATTTTAGGCCTCTGTCACTTTAAGAAAACAAATAGGAGCTGACCACACCCACCCATCCCCTGACTTGCTGCCATAATCTGAGAAGCTCTGATATCTGGGAGGAGCTTAGAGTAGTGCCACTGCTCCTTTGCCCTGGAAAGGTGAGAGGGCTAAGCTAATGTCTTCATTGTGATGTCACAAATGGACTTTCTGAAACTGCTTGTTATAGGAATACAAATCCTAAACAAATGGATGGGTGTTTTGTTTTACATGATTAGAATAGAATAGAATAGAATAGAATAGAATCTCTCTTTTTTTCTGTGGTGCCAAGTTTTGAAGGCAGCAGTTGTCACATTCACAACAGGAGCAAAAATGTATGAATAAAAGAATAAGGAATAAAAGACAAAAACATCTATGCAAGAAAGATTAAAAAGATGCAGTTGGGTTTACAACAATTTAAAAATAAATAAAATCATGTTGAGAAAATAGCAGATTATAATAGAGAGTGAAAACATGAAAAGACAAATGAAATATGAATGAGTGCAAATAGAGTTACAACATAACTGCAAAAAACAAAAGCAGCAGGGAGACAAAAAACTGTTTATTGGTTGTTGGAAGCAGTGGAGGTTGTAAATGCGAACAGCTGCTGGGAGGATGGACCTGTGATGACGTTCCTTTGTGCACCTATGCAGCAGTATCCCACCCCATGCACGTTGCAAAACAGTGATATTAAACAACATCTACCACCTCAAACGCTTTTGGAGTTTTTATAGAGGCGGTAGAGACCTGCATGGCAGCACAAAAGGATGAAAAAGATCAGTTTTGCATCATATGTCCCCTTTAATGATACCTGGTGTTTCAAATTTGCTGTTCCTGTTTTATTTCTGAATACAAAACATGCATTTTGCATTTGCCATAATGGAGAACAATTCTACACAGCTGCAATAACCTTAAATTGTATTTACTGAGTGAATCCCTTATTGGCATGCTCATGGACATCTACCGGCCTTTTGTTCTTTACTTGTTAAATACTCCAATGTAGCAAGACATTATTGTTGCAAACTGTCGAAACTAAACTCTTCTGTGTTGTTACCGTTGGAGATCTGGTTGCCGTTCTCTACCGGGACAGGGCTCGGGGAGTGGAGAGAGTGGTTGTTGGCGTTCTTGTCTTGCAGCTGCAGAGATGGTGATGTGGGCGCAGAGCCACAATCCTCCCTCCCTGGCAGATTGATATTGGAATTGAATCCTGGAAAAATTATAACCAGAAATAAAAATACACACTATAAGCCCATACAAGTCACCTTGTGTTCACAAGACATTAGTTGTGTTATAGTTAAGCAAATCTATTTCCCAGAGATCGTATGTTTTAGTCATTTTGGCGAAAATGAAAAGATTTTTCCAAGATGTTGCCTTTTGGTGGTCAGGCGACTTTGGTGGTGAGGTGACTGCCTCTGCAGCTCCTCGGGGTTGACATGTGTTCACAAACGGCACGAGTAAGTGACTCTGGTTACATACGTGCGTGTCAGTTTGAGCGGTAACTCATCAGCTGCTGTCCCACGCTGAGAATCTGTGCCTCTCAGCCCCTCTACAGTCACATGATACCTAAATATAAGCTTAGTAAACTCTAACATACCGTAGGCCACAGAGTTTGTGTTTGGGACAGCAAATCTAAAAAAGAGAATTTGAAGTTGCTATTAAAGGAAAACGGGCTGTTTTGTGAAGTATTGTTGCTAAAGAATGCCACATGGCATTCTTGTGGTTCTCTCATACCTAACGGTGAGTGAGGGAGGGCGGGAGGGGAAGTCAGCTGCTCTTCACAAAGATATTTGGGATAGCAACTGTAACCACTAGCCACTCCCCCAGAGTCAAGTATCACATTCAGTCATTTAACCACCAAGAGGGAACGGAAGTGGGTTGTCCCGTTAAGCCCCACGGCATCCCGGCGCACTCAGATCTAAGAGGACCGCTGTGGTCTGCCCGCTCAAAATACCCCATGGCCCGCTCCCCCTGTTACACACACCATTTTCCATGATGCCAGTGCTTTTCCTGCTCAGGTCCAGGTGCTGACGAAGAGTCAATTGCGAGATGGGATGCAAGGCGAATGCGTCAGCATACGCACTCGCCCGCATACAGAGTCTTATAAGGCGTTCAACTGCCTGCCGCTTGAGCATTTTGCATTTATAGATGCATGACGCAATAGTTAGCTACGCAAATCAAGTGTCTCCTTAATAAGGCCCTGGAAGGATGATTGATTATTTACAGCTGAGACCGGTTTGGCGGTAGTTTTTCGTCTTCTAGATAAGCTGTCCAGGCTGAACTCTTCACTGCTGCTGAGCATTCACACTCCCTTCAGCGGAACACGAGTGAGCCGTTAAATATTTGATGCCTAATCCTCATCATTCTGCTGCTCATGTTTTATTAACAGAGCCACAAGTTACACACTGAGGAAACGGATGCTGAGACAAAAACATCAGGAGAGAAGAGTTTACCATCATCTTACCACAAACACTATAAAGTAATAGCTTTTTGGTTGTGCATGCTTTGACCTAATGACCCCTGACTCACTTTGCCCGACTCTAGTGTCTGGGTCACATGTGCATGCAGCTCAGTCTGCTCCTTCACACAGTTACCCTGCTAGAACAAACAGATTGCTTTCTATTGCTAAAAGTTGAACTGTGATCTGGAAATGACAACATCCTGAGCTTAATGTCGTAGTTGCAGGTTGGAAAACCAGTGCTTTAGCTAACTTTGTTTTCAGTGATCAGGCTAACCGTTATGGTTTTATTTTTGCGTGTGTTGCCTGTGTTTTTCTGTGTGTTTTTGCATTGAAACACCATGGAAGCATGACCACTAAAGGTTGGGTGATTCACACAGATACCAGCTATCAAAAGTGCAAATTAATAGTTGACTTCAGCGACTAATAGGACTTCCTTATCAATCAATCAATCAATCAATCAAATTTTATTTCTAAAGCGCTTTTCAAACAAAGTGTGATTCAAAGTGCTTTACAAAATGACCCCCGATTCCCATAACAGGTTAAAAACATTTACAAACATATGCAAGCACACGCACACACAGACTCACACACACACACAAGTAAAAATTATATTAGGCTGAGTCCAGATGTGCCAAGTATGGTAATGCAAGGAAACGCCATCAGAGGAGCCGTCTGCCCCGGCAGCATCAGGTCTTCCACACTAAGTCAGGGCGCTCAGTGGAGGGGGAGCATAGACCCCCACCTATAGAGCGCCCAGGAAGCCACAGTCGACCACCGCTCCCAGGGCAGAGGGCCCCCACAGAGGAAACACTGGATTAAAATGAGTAAAAATGTAATAAAAGAGCTAATATAAATGACAAAAATGAGAAAATAAGTAATAAATAAAATGATATAGACAGTAAAATAATAATTTAATAATAAAACTGTGCTAAAATATAATTATATAGAACATGCAAAGCAAGTAACAAAATATAATCATGTAAAACGAGAAATAAAGCTGTAGAAAATATTTAGATAAAAGCTAACCTAAAAAGATGGGTCTTGAGTCTTGACTTAATAACATGAACGTTCTCTGCGGCCCTGAGGTCCTCTGGCAGCTCGTTCCAGAGTCGAGGGCCATAACACTGGAACGACGCCTCGCCGTGAGTTTGTGTCCTGACTTTAGGGATGACCAGGAGACGCCTGCCAGAGGAGCGCAGAGGCCGCGAGGGTTCATATTGTAAAAGCAGTTCTGATAGATAAGAAGGCCCAAGACCGTTAAGACACTTAAAAACCATTAGAAGAACCTTAAAATTGATCCTGAAACATACGGGGAGCCAATGCAATGATTCTAAAACCGGTGTCATGTGCTCCCGCCTCTGCTTAGTCAGAAGTTTGAGATAAGGGACAGAGGGGAAACCTCTAACTTTGGGTTTCTGGGCACCATGGGCATTCCAATTTATCTTTCCAACTTGGAAGAAATGGAGACCACAAAGTGCAATTGGAATGTTTAGGTGGGTTATGCATGCTAGCTCATTAGCCAATAAACTGGCTAATTACTTATGTTGAACTCAACCAATTTACTGGAAAGATGTTTCATTTCAGTAGAATTGACTGAATCTGTGTTACTGACACACCTCCATCTCTCATCTTGCGGCCAGATGTTGACTTCCTCAGCAGGCTGCGTCCAGAGCTGAACAGGGTGTTGAGTTCATCCAGAGGGCTGGTCAGGGGTCTGCCGTTGGCTGGGTTGAAAAGCAGCGGAGATGATGAGCATGAGTGTGCTCTTTGCGGCTCCGGACGGGACATCTTCGCAGGTGAGTAGGGTGGAGGCTTCCCCACTGGTTCCCCACCTGCCCTCTGTGAGGATGTTTTGGGGGAATCTGAGCCCCCAGTGACAGATGCTGCTCGAGTCAGAGTCAGGAAGCTGACCTCAGGTGGGAAGGGGAAGTGCGAGGGGGGTCTGTAGGGAGGAGGCGGGGCGCTTGGGGGAGGGGGTGGAGGTGGAGGTGTCAGCGGAGGTGTGGATTTTTTTTCTGGCGCAAGAACCGTCAGACTAGGCGAGGAGTCGGCCCTTTGGCGAGAAAACTGCGGGGACAAGGGGCTGTCTGGGCCAGTGGCGTAGTTCAGATTTGTCTCAAATACTGGTAGTTTCTTGACCTCCAGCGGGGTTAGGGGTGACTCATCAGAAGCAGGAGAACAGGTGACAGGAGAGGGTGGAAATACCAGGAGGGGTGGACGATGAGGGAGCAGATTGGGAAAGGGAGTAGGGATGTCTTTGCCTTGCTGGGCTTTGGGGGCTCCACTGTTCTGAGAGTGAATGATATCCATAGCAGTAATAACTCCAACGGATGCTTGTTTGCTTTCTCCGCTTTGTGGTGGAGACACCCCAAATCCCACCAGGCCCAAGGTTAGGGCCTGGAGTTTGGCTGCCTTGGTTAACGCAGAAGGAGGAGTTCCACCTTCTTCAGGAGGAAGATATTTCATCTCCTCATAGACAGCTTCTGAGTCTATTTGATCTGGGCTATCAGGGGGCTCCTGGAGGCTCCGAGCCCGAGGCTGGGACCCCAACATCTCTATGTATACATCCTCTTCATCATGGCCCTTGAATAGGCTTAGTGCTACCCCTTGTGGAGCATCTATAGAGGCCGCTCTGTGCAACAAGCCTCCAAATCCTCCACCACGGGAAAGCAGGGCTAGCTTTACATCAGCAGGGCGCAGCTGGTGGAGATGGGGTGCTACAGCGTTAATCTCCTCATACGAGCCCGAAAGCTTAGTGTTGGGGCTGCGCTTCGGTTTCGGGGGTGGTACCTTTCTCGTGGTTGTGTAATCATCACTGTGAGGACGAGGCTTGGTTGAAGCTGAAGAAATGACAACACAGAAGAAATAAAAATGATGTGTAAAAGCAACAAGGAATAAAATCACGTTTGTCGGTAATGTGATATACCTGCTGGGTCACTGGGAGACAGCTGGGATTTAGGGGGACTTCCAGCAGGTGAATCACAGCCCTCAGGAGTAGAGCTCTCTTTGGCAGCCATTGTCAACCCTGCACTAACTGCTTCATAAGATGCACTCAGACGGGTGCTGGGATCCCTCTTTGGTTTAGGAGGAGGTTGCTTCCTTGGAGAGGAAAGACTTCCACCACCGACACCATCCTGATTGGTTTGGGATACCTGTGGCAAGGGTGGTTTGACAGGTGGACTAGCGCAGAAGTGGACCATGTTGTCCACAGCAAGAGGTATGGGCACAGAACTGGAACGAAAATGGCGGATGACTCGACTGCCCCCACTGACTGGACCCTCATGGAGTTTTCCACCTTTTTCCACCATCCTAAAAACAAAGAAAAAAGATATTGGGAAGTTAAACCAAAGTAGGTAATAAAATACATGTCTATTAGTTCTTTAAAGGTGCAATTTGTAAGAATTAGGTAAGAATAACATCCTGTGGTCAAATTTGGTTACTGCAGCCCATTTTTCAAACACAATTGACTTTTTTACAACTGTTTTCTGAGTTTCACGGATGTTGCCAGCTACAGATCAGCACCAGAATATTTGGGATGACGAGAAAAGACAAGCCCTACACAGCAAGTTGATAAATACATTTTACTGTATCAATACGCTTTTTGGATTCAATTTAAAAAGCAACTTGAGATATTTTAGAACTAGCTATTTGATTCTAATTCATTGTTAGCATTGTTAGCTCAACATTAGCTTAGCGTTAGCTCAACGTTAACCACTAGCCCTTTTTATCCGATATTACAGTAAAACAAAAACAATGCCGTGGCTTTTAAGGGTACAAGAAATAACTTCTTGGTTGCTTAGGTGGCTTAGGATTTTTACAAATCCTTGCTGTGTCTTTCCAGCTGGTGTCAATTTACAAATGACGACACAGACTTGGCAAACTCGCGGGACTACGTCCCTCTTTGGCCATTTTGAAAGGAGAAAAACCCACAACCGCAAATGTGTTTCAGTGTAAACTTTCTTCCAACGTGGTTGAGAAATAATTCTATTTTGTGAATTTCACTCCAAAATTACGTACACTCAGTGCACCTTTTAAAATGTAGCATTGACAATTTTCCTATCGTCACATCCATACATAGCTGGCTAATGTATTAAAAACCATATTGCAAATTTTGGAGCTAAAGAGGGCAATTTGATAGCAACAAGCAGAGAGATTATGCTTTAAATATAATCTCCTTGCTGTAACTGGATAACATTCAGCTTGATATTTCCTCGACTGAACTGGGGTAGCCATCTGTTACATCAGAGATTGCAGGCAGGGGGTCACTGAGCATGTGTGGAGGTGATCAGGGAATGCATTTTAAGAAGTCAGCAGATAAACAAGGAAACTGCAGGAATAACTCTTGTCCCTGCCTGCCTTCTTACAACTTTCCTCCCATTAGACTCCCCCTTTTGCTCCCATCTTAAATCCCAACAGCAGATGTCATAATAACAAATAGACAAAAGAAAGAGAAATCATGCAATATATATCAGTAGTTTTAATTTGTCTGCTTCATTGACAGGGATTGATCACGAAAGGAAATTAGAAATTAACACTTGACCTAAGGTTCAATTGTAATTGTTTTAAAGGAAAGGTTTTGTTTCTTATGTTTGCTTTCTTGCTGCAAGGCAACAATGAGAACAACTGTGCCACCACATAGCGGGCTGTGGCACTCTTATTAAAAAAAAGTCCTAGTAGTTCATGCAAATCCTTTTTTTAACCTTGAAAGGACATGTTTATTTATTTTCTCATTTGGATAGAATGCTCATTTGCAAAGTCAAATACCAGCAGCAGCTGTAGCTGTGGCACTTGATGTGCAGTTTAAATCACTTCCTGTAGAATAATATAATATAATATAATATAATATAATATAATATAATATAATATAATATAATATAATATAATATAATAATGTTTCTGCCAAGTAAAATTACTAAAAAAATACTATGTTATTCAATTATATTGTCTTTTTTCAGCCACTAATAAACCATTTTAAAATTATTACTAGCAATAGCAATACCTGTTTACTGTGCAAACAAATACATTCAAGCTAAAAAAAAATAAATAAAGAAAGAAAAAGCAGCACTAACCCACATTTATGAGACGATTAGTGAGAAATCCGACTAAGAGTTCTGTTTTGTTATATGAAACAGGGTCTTCCTTTTAAAATGAAGGTCATACACTCAGCACCATTTCTTTTTAATGCGTTTTTCTTTTACCCAAGCCCTTTGGGTTCATTTCCACTTCCTCTGGGGTAATTTACTATATTAGAATGAGGCAAAGCGAAGACTGGAGTAGAGTTCCATAGGTGCAACATTATACAATCTGATAATGCAGCTCCTTATCTGACCATCCATCATGAAGCTTACAATTAAAAGTCTTCAGTGTGCAGGTATAGAATGACATCATTAATCACAAAACACCTGCTGTGCAGACATTGACACACACACGCCGGAACATAATCACACACGATTAAACCTGCAAACATGATGAAAGTAAAATTATTATTTCATTGTCATGAATGTTGTGATAACTGCAGAATCTTTGGATCAATGCGGTCAGATATCTAATATCATGAAGATTTTATTTTTTATTGCTTATTTTCACTGATTAGAGTGAAAATATTAATCTCCTGGTTATTTTCAGTAAATACGAATAACTCTACTTGATTGTACTACCTCAAACTCAAAATTCTGCCCAACAAATTGTATTTGCAAACATATTTAACCTCAAAAAGCAAAAAATCATTGAAGAGGTTGAGTTCTTTAGAAATGTGCTTGTTGAAATTTAAATACTTCATGAGTTTTTAGATTAGTCACCGATTTATTTTCAGTAAACTGATTTATGAACAAAGAGTCGAAGCTCTAATTAGTAGAAATGTGGGAGTCGACATCGATCAACGCAAAAGCCAAAACTCTGATTAAAAAAAAATGGTCAAAAGGAGAACAAAGACAGAATAATTGACGTTGTGTCTTTTCGTTTAGATCTAATTTAAAAGTGAATAACTGTGCTGATTTACCTCCTGACTGGCTGATCCTCCTCCTTGCCCACTGGTTCTGGCCTCTCACCGAGAGGTGGGCTGTTGCTGACGGTGTTTAGTGGGCCGTGGCCCCGCAGGCGGTCGCTCTCCCGTGCAATGTCAGAAGCATTTTGGATAACCAGCTGGTCATAGGTTCGAAGCCCCACGTCTTCAGCTCCCTGTAGGAAACGTTCCACATTGCACTCCTCTTTGTGATGTAGCAACAGCCTATGACTGACCCGTTGTCTGGCCAGCCAACCACGAACCACTGGGCCACAGAAGAAAGGTGTGAGACTCTAACACACACAAGCATGTTTCTATTTGCTTCCTGTACCATTGAGTGTTACCTTTTTGACAAGTGATAATCTTTTTAAGGAGCTGGTAGCATCGGTCGTTGAGCTGGTCAGCCTGCCAGTATCTCAGAAACACTTTGCTGGTGCCCATCTACACACAATTCACACAAAACACACAATTCACGCATGTAGGATTCTTTATTGCATCCAGTGCTGCACCAACAATTAAAATTTTGACCTTGCAAGGTTTTTTTTTTTTTGGTTAAACACTCAAAAAATGTGGCTGAGCAATGATGCAGCAATAATTTATGATAATAAGTGGGAGTGGAGTGGGAATATGTGCAGATTTGCATACTAGCAATGCACTTAATCCCCTGGACTTTGGGGTCCTATGGAGGAGGGGCTGGATGTTGACCCGAGTCAGTCCATGCAAGGTGCATGAGGCTGTGGGGATGACATCCTTGTACTGATCAGACTAATTCGTCACCAGTTAGGTGTAAAATGTGTGCGGAAAACAGGGCGGCAAAATACGTGTTTGCAGGACAATGTGGGGGAGAGAGTGTATGGATGTGTGTGACCTGTGGGGTCACACATTCAGACACAACAGCAGTCTAGCAGTCAGAACAGAGAGGTGTGTGTGTGTGTGTGTGTGTGTGTGTGTGTGTGAGTGGAATTATGATGAGACTGGACAGCTGGAACAAGTTGTCAAGATTCCATGGGATCCTCCAAATGTAAGGGTCAGGGATTAAGTCATCTGGCAAATCTTTTGTTATTGATAAAGACAAAAAATAAAAGGGGAAACCAGGCGCCAGGGTGTGCAGACAAAACACACCTGCCATCCTTGGAGTTTTGACTGCTGCAGAACCATGCGGCACTTCTCCTCTGTTGACAATTTCTTTTTGACTCCCAAAGTTGGGATTACGAGGTCTTTATATCTGAGGAAGATGAGGGAAAAAGGAGGATGACATTAGAGCTGTGGAGGTAAACATGCTGAGTAGAGATTTTCCTACAAGACATGGCCTCTGTTCCTTTTAGAAACAATGGATTCAAAGGTCAGTGAGGTTAGATGGTGGAGGAGCCAGAGAGCATCTGTTCCTGTCAATGTTGTCCTGGGCAACAGTTGCTGTGAATGATCAGCTGGACTGAGTCAGGGGCTTGTTTTTGTTTATTTACCCAGATGGTGGTGGAGAAATGTTCATAAAGGCTCATATCGTTGGTAGACTAACAGTTTGTGCATAAGGTGGAAGCTCCCCGTGTGTGCACATGGATAAAAGAGGAATGCAAATAGCAGCTGCCTTGTGAGGGAAAACCGACACTGATGTCAGTGTGTTGTAAATGTTCTATCTGCATTGTTCCACATGTGACAGACAGCTGGCTCATAAAAGTTTTAGCTTTTCATATAAAGATCAAACACAGGATTAAATGTCATTATAGTAGTGACAATAAAAGAAAACACAGGACGTGTGTAAAGGTTGTAATCCATCAAGATTACAGCCTTTATAACTGCACTACAAATTAATGACTTCATTGAATAAAAGCTCATTGTTTGGAGGAATGTGTTTGGCCTGCAGCCCTTTTAGCTGAAAAAGGATGTGGTTGAAGCTCCTTTGGTCTAATCTTATGAAGAGATTACGGAACATTATGATATAAAAAGACAAAATCTCAGACATTTAGCACAATTTGATGGAGAAAATTTTCATTTAGACTATTATTTTTTTTGCTTAAAGGGAGACTAGGCGGTTTTGGCTTGCTTTTAGCACCCCCTAGTGTCTGTTTTAATACAACCAAAAGCAAAACTTGTCTCTTCGCTGTGCGTTCATCGTTTTAGCTCCTTAATCTGAAAGCTGACATGTCTCCTCAACCTTTATTAGTGTCTACAGCAGCGGTTCATCACTAAATTAAACAAATCAGCTGTATTTGTGATCTAAAACATGCAGGGATAATGCTGGAACCAGACTGCAGCACCAGGTATGCCAGCTCAGACCGGACCGGCACTCTGAAGATGCAAATGCTGTATTCTGGCCACAGAGGGAGATGGAGGTTTGAGAGACATTTCAGTAGTGTAAAGGGTCATTTTAGCAGAGATGTGAACAAGTCACTGCTTTGCAAGTCCCTAGTAAGTCACAAGTCTTTCCAGTCAAGTCTTGAGTCAAGTTCAAGTCAAAAACAACCAAGTCCAAGTCGATTCCAAAGTCAGTGATGTGGAAGTCCAAGTCAAGTCCAAGTTCTTAATGGCCCTATGTGTGAAATCCATTGAAATCATGATGAAAAGGTGCAACTCTTTAACGCCATGCAGTTCAGAGAGAGTATTGCAGCTACGGTGGCTCACTCGTGATTTTGACTGTATAATACATTTCCAACCTGTGTAGCCTAACCCACACAAAGCTTAAAACAAGCTACTTGACCTTTTTTAAAAAGCATTTATAATTATGACTGTTTAATCAACCTACCATTTCTGAAGGAAGAAAGCTAGTTCTGTTATGGGCCATTCCCATCTGTACCGGGTCGGCCCGGGCCGGATAGCGTAGGTTGTTTACATATCTGGGTGGCCTGGTATTTTTCCGGGCCAACCAAGGCTCATTCTCAGCCCTCTTCTCGAGGGGGTCTGCTTCAGGCCGACCAGGGCCAACACACCCACTGCTGACAGCAAATTCACACCTTCCACTAGAGCAAGCCTCTGATTGGTGGGTAGAATCAGCCCACATGGGCTTAAGGCAAGGATGTGTGGAATCAACCGGGCCAGGCTGGGGCCAACTGGGGCTACCCGGCCCGGGCCGACCCGGTACAGATAGGAATGGCCCATTAGATCTTGAAGCTGTCATGATTCACACACGGAGGAGGGGTGACGTCAGCCGGGAGGTCAGGTGTTGTGAGAAATTGTGTTCCCCTGAAATATTCTGTCTCCTGGTGTCGGGAGATTGCACTTCAGGCTATACATTTGTGATAAACTTATGGTAAAATGATGTCATGTAATGTAATAATGTCATGCTTGATGCTTTTATATCTAATTGTCCTCCTAAAAGCAATAAAAATGGTACAGCAAAAACATTCCTGTTCACTCTCTACAAACTTATTTATCGTTTTTGAAAGTTATGGAAAAGGATGTAATTTCACTCAGTTTAACCATCTTTTACTTGAGGTAGCTAAATCACAGTAAACAACTGTGATTTAGCCACTGGCTAGCGGACGAGCGCTGGGGCGTGTTGGGAGAGACAGCAGGCTGCGGGAAGAGAGGAGACTTGAGTAAAAGGACTTTGGAACGGACACGTTGGGACCGGATCGGGAGTTCTGGTACTAGGAAAAGACGAATGAACAACTTGAGGTGAGTTTGGGAGTCAGAGACACTAATCAGAGGCTGGCGTCCAGCTAATAGTGGGCGGGGATCTGAACATTTGCGGCTTCCTTGTGTTGGACATGATGAGGAACTGACAAATTTTAACTGTCTTTTGATTTAATTGTTTTGTTTTTTTATTCAAACTATCAAGTACAGCAAAGGTGTAGCTATTCCTTTCTATGTCTTAGTTGAATTACCGGACTCCATGTTTCCAGGGTGCACTGCTGCTCTCTGCTGGTTCTTTCAGGTCACAGTCATAGTCCAAACGCGTAACGTGGAGCTCGTATGTCCCTAAACAGCTACTGTATTTTAAGATGGTGGATGACCATGGCGCGTTGACCGTTTATGTATTTAAAATGTATAAGTTCAAGTTGAGAGAAATATTTAGAATTGATGTTTGTGAGAAATATTAGTGAAAACAGACAAGTTTGTGAACTGGAAACAAAGGATTTTACAGTAAACAGGTAGAAATATCACACTTTAACTTTGAATTTTCAAGTCATAATCAAGTCATCTGTCCAACTTCAATTTAATTACAATGATAATGGATAAATTCCAGAAATAAAGTTTCTTAAAACTTAATTAGTTTGCTCAAACAAGCAGAAAGTGCAAATGAAATTGAATATAAACAAAGTGCTGCTGCAGTTAGCAGTACAAGATCACACCCAGAAAAAAGAATGATTCATGACTTTCGTCCATGTCGGGCCACTTTTGTGCTAAAATATCAAATATGCTCAAGTCATCATCAAGTCAACAGATGCAAGTCGATTCAAATCGCAAGTCATTGGCGTTCAAGTCCGAGTCAAGTCATAAGTCTTTATAGATTTTATCAAGTCAAGTCAGAAGTCATTAAAACAAAAACTCGAGTCTGACTCGAGCCCAAGTCATGTGACTCGAGTCCTCACCTCTGCATTTTAACACATACTAGCGCAAGATAATCCCTTTAATATCTGTCAGTTTCACAGAGTTTTAGATAGTTTTGCTCTGGCTAAGGTAGATTAGCTGTGATGCTAATATAAGCTAGCTCCAATTGGGTTGTCTTAGCCATCTAATGATTATTTCCTGAGAGTTTCATTAAAATGTATTCATTACAATGTTTGGCTTAGGAAGAGATGGGGTTGCCTTTTTAAACTGAGATCTAAAATCATCAGTTAAGACCAGGTTAAGACTAAAATGATGTGTTACAAATTACTTTCAGCTCCGATACCAGATATTTTCTTGAAACTATTAAACAATGTCCTCCATCAAATAAGAGATGAGCATCAAAAGATGATGGCATAAATATGTGCTCATGCACTCCATGACTCATGCTATTTATTATGACACATTTCCCAATGAATCAGGAATTGCAACTGTGCTCAGCAATAAAAGTCAACGTTTGTTTTGCATCGCATATTTAGTCTGTGTCCAGGAAGTGTTTGCGAGTGTGACTGTTGTATCTGGAAACTTATGAACGTTATCATAACTGGGAAATCTCAAGAGTCTGAATTACAGCTGGGTTAAATTTCGCTGAACTGACCTGGCTGCTGCAGAAGCATTTCAGAATCAGAAAGCTTTGTTATTGCATGAGAAAGCAATGAAATTAGGGGGTGATCAAATGGTGAATTTGGTTTACAGATAACGAAACATAAGATGTATGAAGAGAAAATAGTAAAACTGATAAAATGACAGAAAGGTAGGTATAAAATATATAAGGAGTGTATATATATATATATATATATATATATATATATATATATATATATATATATATATATATAAAGGAGTGTATATATATATATATATATATATATATATATATAAAGGAGTGTATATATATATATATATATATATATATATATATATATATATATATATATATAAAGGAGTGTATATATATATATATATATATATATATATAAAGGAGTGTGTGTATATATATATATATATATATATATATATATATATATATATATATATATATATATATATGTATGTATATATATGTATATATATAAAATATATATACACACAAATATCACACACTATCATTTATCAATAGCTCTTGATACAACTGAAAGATTATATGTGATCTTTTAATTCTTAAATACATTTGTAGGTGTATAAGACTGATTTATAGGTATAACCAGAGGTCGAAAGTAACGAATTACATTTACTCGCATTACTGTAATTGAGTAGCTTTTTTGTATATTTATACTTTTTAAGTCGTTTTTAAAAGCTCTACTTTAACTTTTACTTGAGTAAGTTTTTTAAAAAGAATTGTAATTCGCTACATTTTAAATGATATCCGTTACTGAGTAAAAATAAATTATAGGCTTAATAAATTAAAAATATTACGTGTAGCAGCGTTGGAACGGAAAGAGCACCTACATGAGCGCCACGTCTAAAACGGGGGTGGGGGGGTGGGGGGGGCACACTTTTGCTCAAAGACATCAGTTCAGTCGATCAACTCGCTGTTTACATCCTCTCTCCCTCCTCTCCTGTGGGTTGGAACCCGCACCTTCGCGCACCGGTGTGACGTCATCAGAATTCTGCTTGGTTCGGTAGCGAGACTCGGTTCCGTGTTTGAAATGTGTTTCTCTACCGCTCCGCACGGCAGCA